ATTTCTTATGTTCACTTTTTTTTGGTTGGGGGTGGGGTTCAAGGCAGGGTTTCTCTGTGTAGCCCTGGCTGTCCTAGAATTCACTCCCATAGATCAGGCCGGACTTGAACTCAGAAATTTATCTGCCTCTGCCTTCCAGGTACTGGGATAAAAGATGTGAGCCACCACCACCTATCTCTTCTAAAGTTTTTAATGAAGATAATTACAATGAAATGTATAATTAGAATTGGTCCTAAAATTGCTGTGATTTTGTTTTTAATTAACATACAAAGCAAATGAGCTTTATGGCCTACAGAGTGAGTCTCAGGACAGCCAAGGCTACATAGAGAAACCCAGTCTTGAAAACCAAAACCAAACCAAAACAAAAGACAAAATAAAATATCCAAAAACTTTAGAAGCTTAAAATGATCAAAAATAAGTACTAAGACTCCCCCATACAACATTGAGGATGTTGGTTTAGTTTTGTCCAGGGAAGGATGTGACTATGTGAGTGATACAGATTCTGAGATGAAGGATGGTCCTCCAGCCTTTCCCCCTGAGCCTGGGATGCTGGGTGTGAGCCTGAGGGAGGGAATGGGACTCCCATCAGGAGCTGCTCAGGGCTTCAGAGAATGATTTAGTTAGATATATGCTTTTACACTCACTGGGTAAAAAGTTTAATGTTTATTTGGATGTGGTCTCAAACAATCACCAAGCCTTGTTGGAGTATTTAAAAACAAGATTTATCAGAGGCCTCTAAATGCATTTGACTGTCTTAATAATTAAAAGAAATGCCTATCTGGGAATGATGGTGCACACTTTTAACCCCAGCACTTGAGAGGCAGAGGCAGAGGCAGAGGCAGAGGCAGAGGCAGACACATATCTCTGTGAGTTAAAGGGCAGCTTGGTCTACAGCATAAGTTCCAGGACAGCTAGAGCTCACAGAGAAACCCTGTCTTAAAAACAAAACAAAACAAAACAACCCAAATGAACCAATCAATCAAACAAAAGCCTATACAATGATTTTTATAGTTATGAAGCTAAAATAAGAAAAAGATTATCATCAGTATGCACACAGTTTAACAGGAAGAAATTAGGACATATAAAATAAGTCACTCCTCTGCAAAACAACTTGTAGTCTTTATAAAAGGTTTGTTTTGAATTACACAGTTTTTAATATCACATGACTAATTTCTTTTACTTTATAATATTTAAAACTTTGTAATGTAGGCATTATATATTGAGTGCATTTTTATTTAAGTGACACAAATTATGTATAGAAGCCTACATTAGAAATGTGCAACACTCCAGGCCTTGAACAGTTGGAGACAAAGTTATCTATATTTCTTTTCGCAGGAGCAGCCAGAACAGTAATTTTTAATTTATTGTTTCATTATATACTTTTGTTTCTTGCTTATAAAACAACTCAACTTTCAGCTTTCACCCACAAGAGCTTATTAAACAATATATGTAATGGCCTGTGTGTAGAAATAAATATGAACACATCATGTTGAAAGACAACTTTAGTCCAGTTAGTGGCTAGTCAGAGGTGTTACTTGAATGCATGAAGAAAGATTATCCAAAGGATTATGAAGTATACATGGATACAGAGTGAGTTTTTAGTGTTCTAAAGCAATGCTTTACTAGCACCAGGCACCTGTACTGAGTGTCCAGTGGTTCTTAGGAACAGTGGCATTTGTTCTGATTTAAAATGTGGTTGGTGTGTTTTAATCTCAATTTGAAATGTAAATGAGTAGGGAGGCCTCATTCATTGTGTGTATATTCTGTACCATACTGAGCACACAACAGTATAAAGTTAAGTCAGAGGACAAAACCTACTACAGTGTCAGCATGAAGAACCTTTGACAATGGACACACATTTCTAACATGGCAAATATGATGACACACTACTCGGACTTTCTAACACCTTTTGATTCTTGTTGAGTTCTTTTCTCACATGGAAGGAAACAAAAAACACACACACACACACACACACACACACACACACACACACACACACACACACACACACCTTGGCTATTTCCTGGGGAAATTCAGATTGAGGGCTCTTTAGGACAGTGCCTTCTCATTGGAAATCAGATAATGTCTTTGCTGCCATAGGCTCTATCAACCAAGAACCTTTGGAAAATGAAAGAGTCAACAGTGTGTTTATTACAAAAAATGTAACAGGGGGAAAGGGAAGGGTGAGTGTTACATCTGTAGGACTAATAAAATTGAGAAGACCATTCACTTTCACTGGGGCTCATTCGGAAGACTTCAGCAACACATTTTAAAAACAGTACTCTCCTAGGCTGATCATCCTCCCATTTTCAGGAAGGGATCTAGGTGACTATGGAACTGTTTCACATTATTGTTTTTACATACATACATACATACGTAAGTACATACGTGTGTACGTACATATGTACGTACATGAAATCTATTCAGAGCTTGGGAAGTATAAAAAGTTCTAAATATTGCAAAATGCCATATGTGGAGAATCATCCAGGACAAAGTAGAAAAACAGTATTACCAAATAATACCTAGATGATATGCGGAAAGAAAGGGATGCATTATGGATGCTCTGGATGGATTGTTAAGAGCTGCTTGATATTTAATCAATGTCCACAGAAAAGTAGGTTATGAAGAGAAAGCAGTATGGCTGCCAGGGTGACAGGGCATGTTCTGAAAGCAAGACAAGTAGGTCATTAGCTGGATGCCAACTTTCCAAAATGGTAACAGTTTATTTGACAAGCTAGTTTGCATACCATTGTAAATACACCTCTAAACATGTTTTATTGTTATGGTGTGAGAATGTCTACAAACTGGTGTGTTGAAGCTTAGTCTCTAATTAGATGTGCTGAATTTGGGGGGGGGGTAATGGAAACTCTATGGAATCAGCCCTTGTTGGAGACAGTGGGTCCTAAGGGTATTCTTCTGAAGGTTTTAGCAAGGCTCTAGTCTCTTCTGTTTTCTGTTAGGGCATAATGTAAGACACTACTCTGCTCCATAATTTGCTCTTGGGTATTTTGTTAATAGAGATAAAAATGTAACTAATATACTGTAGTCTATTGATTTTATTTTATAACAAAGGGCATGGAGAAATGACACTCAAAATAGCCTTTTAAACCAAATTACCTTTAGTGTTCTATAAAACACTGCAACAAAATTAAAATTGAGCTCAATCAACTGAAAAACACTTTCATAGCAAACTATTGTTTAGAGTCCATTGTCATAGAACAATTGATGAATTTTTGGGGCTTAAGTAAGAAAAGTGCTTTACTTGTGAAGATGCTATCCTAGGCACTGAGGGGGTATAATTTGGAGGTATTTCTTTTAACCACCTCAAAGATAATTAAAAATTTCTATAGGATAGTTTTCTTTAACAAGCCCAAAGACAAAAGAAAAATATTAGGATCATGGGTGAAATAAATGTTTACTAATCCAAGTGGTCTACAAACATCAACAATTTGTAAGATGTAAATATCAGTAACTGCTGATATATATCCACATGTGTCTAAGGTTAGTTAAAGGGAACAATGACAGAGGTCAGACAGTACAAGCCATTAATTTATCAGATGCATAAGGATGAACAGTCCCTAAACAGTAAAGTCCATAGACAAACAAGTTTTACTTATTTCAATCTTTGATGGAGTCTGTATTGAGAAACTAGAGCAAAATGACACTAATTTAATTAATATGTATTAAAAACTTGTTAATGTCAGCCTCTGAAAGCACTAAAATAATTATGAGATGATCTTGGACATAGAAGTGTATGGCCTGGTTAAAAAAGTCATGTCAAGAGTAAGGCTAAAGCCATTTCAGTGTGGAGGGGGATGTTGATACAGATGAGTGCATTAAGAATATTAAGGTGGGTGGGGAGGAAATACAATGGAAGGCAGATGGGATATGCCTTCGCAGTGAGGGGTGACAGACTGAAGGTCTTGGCCACAGAGATAAGCAGAGTGTAGAAAGGCTTTTAAGGCTTCTATTCCCTCTTAATTATAAGGGTGATTTAATGGGTGTACTTGGGCACTGGGAAGATACCAATGGAGAGAAGTGGGGGAGGGGGACCAGGAGAGGGTTAGTAAGCCCAAGACAGTGAATATCCATCAGAAGCTAACTGGGTATAGTGGAGGTAAAACTAAACAATTGAAGATAGTGTCTTAAATTTGTGTCCTTTTCTTGACCAAGAAGTCTCAAGATGGACAAGTTTTCTTTTTCTGACCACTGTTTTCAGACTGCAGTTTTGAAATGAAGTCTGAATAAGTACCAAACCTTTTAAATAAAAAGCCCATGCCCCTCCAATTTACATAATTTAAATTAAAACATCAGTTCTAATCAGTAAACACAAAGCAAGGTGACAGAATTTAAAGGTGACAAATGACATGAGGACTGATAGTAGTAAGTATGGCTCTTTCAGGCTTAATGAAGTAGTTTAAATAGTCTTAATATGAAAGTATGCCGAATGAAATTCAAGGAAGTCCCTGCTTTCTCTAAAGGGAAATGTTGTTGGAGCTGAACCATAAATTATACACTGCACCTGACAAAATGACAGCTTCTTGCTATTTGCATCAAACCCATTATCTAGGAATCTGTTGCCTGGATACTAGGAGTTGAAGTTTAATGCACTGTAGATGGAATATTAAAATTTCAAACAGAGTTCCAGCAATGCAGTCTAAGAAAATATATACTCGTAAACAGAAAGAAAATTTCTTTGTGGCTCAAAGTGGCGCTAAGTTTTTAAAGAAAAGTGAACTTGTTTTGGATGAAGGATTTAGGAATACCTGTCCAGTCACACTAAATTTACACACTGTTTTTTGTTTGTTTTCACTTTTACTATAGACACAGAGAAAAATAAATATTTTCCTCGTCTTTGAATGTTATGACATAAGAACTGTGATGGTCTGGAGACTTGTTATCCTAAGTGTAATTATGTACACTCACACACACACACACACACACACACACACACACACACACACACACACCTTTTAGGAGCCCAGCGTTCTTGTAACCACCTGCTCCCATGCAAACACATGCTGATTGAAATAATACTGGATCTGTTCATTTGCAATGTTAATGCAAGCTGCTCAAAGGAATTCCTTTTGAAATTTTCTGCAAAGCCGAATATATCAAGAATGCCAATAGTTACTCTTCATCCCCACTGGAAGAATTAAAGATGTTTGTTGAGTTAGTGTTCATTTCCTTAGGAGGTAATGCAAGATAGAACATCTTGGAATTCCCTTTGGTGATTGAGTTAATTGAACAAGTCTCTCCACAGAAAACAAAGATAACGGTGGTAAAATTAATTTTAATAAGTGCATGGAATGGTATTTTCCTTACTAAAGAGCCCACTCCCATGTTCTTATACACCTAAACAGAAGTCCATCCATGGGGTGTAAGTATTTATTGCCCAGCCCTATGTTGAGTCAAACACCATAGAACAACCTGGCTCATATGCAGACTATTGCAAACATACAGACAATCAGAACTTTACCAGTGACCTAAAAAATTCTCATAAAAGTTAAAATATCTTACTACAAATGTCCCTAATTATTTTCAAACAACTTTTTTTTTTTTACTTACTTGCTTATTCAAGATTGGGGCAGAAATACAGATCAAATGACAACCTATAAAAAGACACAAATATGTGGGGATTCATCTTATAGTTAAATACTTTAAGCCAGTAATGGTGGCACACACCTGTATGTATGCACTTAGGAGGCTGAGGCAGAAGACTTGACAGTTCAAGTCTTGGATGCATAGTAAATATCCTGTTTCAGAAAACCAAATGAAGACCAACCCAAAGGGAGGAAAACAAATGAACCCCAAAATACAATTAAATATTATTTTACACACAAATTATCTCAGATGCACATTTCTTTTTTGCTATTACATGTTGCTAGGCTCTGTTCACCAAAATTAGATATTTGGTTAAAATTTTTGCTTTTCTCGTACATAGATACACTAGGGTAATTTTTATGTACTTTACAATGAAACTGCCAAAGCTTCCCTTTTGGGTCTACCCGTGGGTTAGTGTAGGGGGATGCTAGGTATTACGTGCTAAGATGGAATTGGCAGTCAGAATCTGCTTGTGTTCCCACAGTTGCAGAAAGTTACTGACAACATGTGACTTCCAAAACTTTAGCCCCCCCTGGATTATAGATGTCATGCATAACCCCCAAACACTGAAGAGGCTGTGGTAGGAGAATCTTGAATTCTAGGCCTGCCTGGGTACACAGTGAGACTGTTTCCAAACAAGGAATCTTAGTTGCTGTCTTAATGGGGAACTAAACTAAACTATCACAGCAGGTCTTGGCTCAGTTTTTTTTTTTAAACTAGCCACAATTAAAATAACTCCAAGTCTTTGGCTAGTTATGGCTCATTGGCTCATAAAAGAACAATTATTTAGCAGACATACTACAATGGGATTTTTAGCACATCACCTTTCTGGATACTGTTTAGTACTAAACATGCAGACAAAAGCTAACAAGAAGTGAGGCCAGTGGCTCTAATTATCTTGTTTACATTTGTGGAATATACAAATGTCTAAACATTCCTGAATGTTTCCAGTTTCTACAAGATTCTTAACATCTTAGAGATGGCCACTAATGAGCAAAAAGCTGTCTTGATATTTAGTCATTCTGGGCAAACTGCATTAAAGATTTAGAGACTCAGCTCATTAGGGACTGAGGAGATCCAGGAACAAATGTGTGAGATCCAGGGAGTTAAGATCCAGGGAGCAACAGTGGGTACAAACAAAAGGAGCTTTAATATGAGCACAGGATGGGCTTTGGCAGGAAATAATGCTGAAGAACTGAGTATGTGAAGCATGTGTAAGATGATCTTTTATAGTTCAGTAAGTAGCTGCAAATGAAGATAAGGTCATCTTAATGTAGACGGCCATCTTGTTTTTTCACGTGTAACATTTCTAAAAATTCCTATGACCCAGGGCAGAAAAACCTTCAGGAGAGACTGTGAGGACTTTCGCCTCTGCAACGAATCAATGGCAGCTGTGATGTCCTTTCTTTCTAATATGAGCTTCCAGGAGAACCACAGACACAAGGTGTTTGGGTGCTTATATAGGTTCCATTAACCAATACCTGTCATGTTCTTGTGCTTTTCAGAATCAAACTTCATTGGAAGTCTTAACACCCTATTCCTGCAAGGCTGCAGTGAGGTTAAATGAAGAGAAAGTTTTGCTTTCAGTCATAGTTTAATTTAAGCCCACAAAACAAAATTTAAAAAAAAAACCAGCTGGACTGACATTTTATACAAGTGTAAAATGGTACACACTTCATGGTACACAGTCTAATTAAGAGAACATTTGAATTGATAACATGGATGCCAGGCTTAAAATCACTTTCTAACATGTTTATTAACATTGCTACAGTTTTGTTATAGTAATCAAGATATTTCATAGTTACATGGAATGATAATGCGATGGTGTGACTAGGAGATGAAGCATAACCATAGGAATACAACGTTATAATTAAATTAAACCAATCAGAAACTTATTCAAAGGGACTTACAAATCCAGAACAGACACACAAGCCACTATTTGCAGAAAATAGTCATATAAAACATTTACCTTGGTGATGTGTCATGTTTCAGCAAACTGTTAATACAATTGACTATCCAGCTAAAGAGGCGTCCATATAAAGTTTTAGACATAGCATCTCGGACATCAGTAGCTTTTTCTACCGTGTTGGGTCGGATAATTGTTTCTCCTCTAGTGACCCACACAGTGCAGGTAAGAGCTTCTTGTAGCTCATCTGCTTGAATGCAAAGCAAAGATGCTGCTGCAAAACCAATAGATTATCTGTAGAAAACAATGAACATGACTAATTTCCAGAAAACAGAAATGTCTAAATTCACTGGAGCACCTGGCATTCCATAAATATGTGACTGTCTCACAGGTGTCCAAAGAAGCTACCATTCAGCATTAGTCTCCCTGCCTCTTCCTGATTACATTTCTTCTTGCCTCCACTAACCAAACTGGACTGCTGTGCATTGGTCCAACACAACATAAAACTAACTGCATAGATGTGGTGTAGTTCTTACCATGAAGTCAACACTGATTTCCACCAAATTAGAGCTAACTTTTCACTTTGGAAAACACAATGAATAAGTTTAGTAGAATTTTTGATATGATTATTATGTAATTATTTCCAAATGCAAGAATGGTTTTA